AACTGGTTACCCATGCTGACTTCGGTTCTGATCACCTTCCAGTAACTTTTGAAATATCCCAAGAAATAATTTGTAATCCCAACAGCTCTACTTTCAATTACCATAGAGCTGATTGGGAGCAGTACCGAACATTTATGGAATATAACTTCGATCCAAACATTCCTTTGCAAACCAAAGATGAAATTAATTATGCTCTTGAATCTCTGACTACTTCTATAGTTGAAGCAAGAGCTGCCTCAGTACCAAAATGCGCGGTTAAATTCGATTCAATTATAATAGACGATGATCTTCAGCTCTTGATCCGTCTTAAAAATGTCCGTAAGAGACAATATCAAAGAACGCGCGATCCTACCATGAAAGTTATCTGGCGGGATTTGCAAAAACAAATTAAAAAACGATTTTCTGCCCTGATGAACAAAACTTTTGAAAATAATGTTTCTAAATTAGACCCGAGTTCCAAACCCTTTTGGAAACTCACAAAATTTTTGAAAAAACCTCAAAAGCCAATTCCAGCACTTAAATAAGGTGGTAAAATTTTGATCACAAATTTGGAAAAAGCTCAGAAACTTGCTAAGCAATTTTAGAGTTCCCATAATTTCAGTTTGGGTCTTACTAGTCCTATTGAGAATCAGGTTGCTCGGGATTTTCTGAATATTTTCTCTCGGGAAAATATTTTTGATGATTCCGGGGGGACTGATTTGGACGAAGTAAGGTCTATAACTAAAAAGTTTCAAAATATGAAAGCTCCAGGTGATGATGGAATTTTCTATATCCTCATCAAAAAACTCCCAGAGAGTACCTTGTCTTTCCTGGTAAAATTATTTAACAGATGTTTCCATTTGGCATACTTTCCTGATAAATGGAAAAATGCAAAAGTTGTTCCAATTTTGAAGCCGGATAAAAATCCAGCTGAAGCTTCTAGCTACCGTCCAATAAGTTTGCTTTCTTCAATAAGTAAACTTTTTGAAAAAATAATTTTGAATAGAATGATGCTTCACATCAATACGAACTCAATTTTTGCAGATGAGCAGTTTGGATTTCGCCATGGGCATTCAACTACTCATCAACTCTTGAGAGTTACCAATTTAATTCGTTCAAACAAATCGGAAGGCCACCCGTAAAAAAAAGAACCATAAAGGCACAATGAAATGTATTGTAACCATACAATAGAATTTATTGTATTTACCATAAATCATATTGTCTACAACGATAAAATAACCATATGATGTATTGTTTTCACAATAGAAATGGGAAAATCTACAATAGAACAAGGGGGTTGTTATGTATCTTAACCATAGGAAAAATCACTTTTTCCCGAACAAAGATGAGCCATTTACCATTAATTGTATTGTTGTTCTATTGTTGAAAATTCTTACTATATGAGACGTATTGTAAATCTATTGTAATAACAATATGTTAAAATTTCTTGTACAATATACGTACAATAAGATCGATTGTTGGTAATAGATTTTGTTGTGATTGTATTTTATTTTATGGTAATTGTATTGTTATTTTTTCCGGGCACTCAACTGGAGTTGCTCTTCTAGACATAGAAAAAGCATTCGACAGTGTTTGGCATGAAGGTTTGATTGCTAAATTGAAAAAGTTTAATTATCCACTTTACATTATGAAATTAGTTCAAAATTATTTAACTGACAGAACTCTGCAGGTAAATTATCAAAATTCCAAATATAATCGACTACCTGTTAGAGCAGGAGTTCCTCAGGGTAGCATTCTTGTGCCTATATTGTACAACATTTTCACTTCGGACCTCCCTGATTTGCCTCAGGGTTGCCACAAATCTTTGTTCGCTGATGACACAGGCATTTCCGCTAAAGGAAGAAGTCTTCGTGTTATTTGCAGCAGACTGCAGAAAAGTTTGGATATTTTCTCTTCTTATTTACAAAAATGGAAGATTTCTCCCAACGCTTCCAAAACTCAACTTATAATGTTTCCACACAAGCCTAGAGCTTCGTTTTTGAAACCTAGTAGTAGTCACATAGTCACTATGAACGGAGTTCCAATTTCCTGGTCAAACCAAGTGAAATATCTTGGATTAATACTTGACCAAAAATTAACTTTTAAAGATCACATTGAGGGCATTCAAGCTAAATGTAACAAATATATTAAATGTTTGTATCCTCTTATAAACAGGAAATCCAAACTTTGCCTGACGAATAAACTTCTAATATTTAAACAAGTTTTTAGACCGGCCATGCTTTACGCTGTGCCAATATGGTCTTGTTGTTGCCTTACCAGGAAAAAGCACTTCAAACGATTCAGAACAATGTTCTGAAAATGATTTTGAAGTTGCCTCCCTGGTACAGTACTACCGAGGTACATAGAATTTCGAATGTTGAGACTTTAGAACAAATGTCCAACAAAATAATGAATAATTTCAGGCAAAAATCGTTGCAATCCTCAATTGCAACGATTAATTCCCTTTATACTTAGATAAGATTTAGTTTTAGTTTTTAGTTTTAAGATATCAATTGTTATACTGACATGCAGGTTAAAAAACCTGTTTAAAATACTTAATTGCCAAGACATGAACAATGTAAAAACACTTAGATATATATCATAACAATTAAGGCTGGTACGTTACTGCAGTAACTGGAGCACCTAGGTTAAAAATGAAATGTAATTTATTTTGAATTTGAAACAAATAGTTAAAAAAAAGGGTAAGCTCTCTTTTATGGTTATTTTTATTAGGGATAGCATTGATTAAAACATACAATTCAAAACTATTAACGGATGAAGATCAAAAGCAGTGCATTTTACAATTGGTTGAAGATCATCGAAAAAATTATAAGAGTACCAGGAAATCTGATTTGGTGTAGCTAATAAGGAAATATATGGCAAAGTATAAAACAAGTATTTTTTCATCTTTTCAGGCAAATGTTCCTCTTGTGTAAAACTCATGATTCAACAAAAAAAAACAGATTAACGCAATGTAAGATATTTTTACAATTGATTTTAGGAATTTCTGATGAAAAGTTGTGGTTTTTCATATAGTTTTGAATTTTTGGACCACCTTAATGAAGAATAGTTGGACCACCCTAGTGAATTATTTCGTATTAGATCCTAAATGGTGGTTTAATTCGATATATAAGCAGGTTCGAGACAATTGTGAACAGTTTTAGAAGCCGCCTCATAAATCTTCTATATTCCATATAGACTCATGAACAAAATTCTAAGTCCCAGAAAGTCGATTTTTGAAAAAAAAAAGTTTGTAGGAGTTGTCATTTTTCCATAATATTTTTTTGAAAAAAGTCGGCAACAAAGTTTGGCCCTTCTCAAAGGTTAGTCTAGATAAATTTGGGAAAAACTAAGTACATGCAAAGTGGCTTATTTAGTCAAAGTCCACACATCCAGAAAGTTTCATTGAAATCTGAGAGGGTGCTGCCAGCTCCGAATACGATTTGGCAGGAAATGCGTCCTACGTGCCTAACTGGTTTCGATCTAAAGTTAGAAAAGCAACAATTTTATCAGTTCGCAATGGATTTTTATAAAGCAACTTGCAATCGGTCAGTAATTGATTTTAATTACTAGGCAAAATAATGGCTTCGGTAATCCTTTATCTTTTTTAAGAATATTAGGAAATAGTATTGCTGAAGCCGTCATTTACCCTAGTAACTAAAATTAATTACTGATCGATAATACATGCTCGATTCGTCTATGGAGAGCCTAATAGCAGCCTATTAAGACTACAGTTGGTAAGTTCTTGAAAAAAATAACGCTGCTATGGATTGAACAATTTGAACTATAAGCAGAAGCTCATAATAAGTCTACCCTTAAGACGGCACTGAGCTAATCGCCAAATGGATATTCATCAACAAAGCGCCGAAAACATTTCAGATGGACACAAAATGACTATACCATAAAGTTTTATGGATGCAGGTAAGTAGGTACCCATACGATCAAAATTGCTCAATCGCTGCTCAGCTGTGTGAATTGATTTGATGTCATCTATCACATCGTTTCACGTCGTTGGTATAGGCCATTAAAAACTGACCTCTCGCGGTCATCTTGAAAAACGACTTGATGATGCAAATGTCAAATGCTTCAAGTTCTGTTTCCTAAATAAAGCTTTTTATTAATTTTTTCGGTGACTTTACGGGGGATAAAAACTCAAGTGTTACTCAATAGCTACTCAAATTAAGCTAATTCAAACAGTAGACCCGTTTTAAAAATTCTCAAAATTCTAAATCAGCATCATCAAACCGATTTTCAAGATGACCGCGAGAGGCCAAATTTTAATGGCCTATAGGCGATGATCGTGTCGCGTTTGAATCTCATACTATCTTCATCGTAGGCAGGCAGCATCCATCCATGTAGTTCCAGCAACATCGCATCGAATAAGGTGCTGCTATACGGAGTTTTGCCTCGCGGAGCTAAGATGACGGCACGTAAATTGATGACTCGCCAATGACAAACCAACTACGATTGTGTCGGGGTGCGCTGTGACGACTCCGCCGGTCGCGCTCTGCCCCGAAGGTATGAAGAAGTACCTACTAAATAGCTCCGCGCCGCACCACACGGAGGAAAGGCGGAACAAATACCTTTACCTATATTTGCGCGCACGAGTAATCCGTGAAGCGGCTGGTCATCACCGTCATCATCATCATCATCATCAGCGTGTCGTCGACGTAATGATCGCAAGCGAGGTGCACAATGTGTGTTACCCGACCATGCCATATTCCAGTTTCCCAGTGTCGTCGTCGCACGCGGAATCACTTCCCTCTGCATCTCTTCTGGCGTTGCGGGCTGTTAAGGTATATGGACTTGGATGGTTGGCGACGGGTTGATCTACTACTACACTGCAAGCCAGAGCAGTGCGAGCGGCTTGTTTTGACCAAACACCGACCGAGCAACTCCATCGTATCGCCGTCGTCGTCAATGAAATGGCAATATCACCCGAGCCATCGCGTTTCAGCTAGTTTCGACGCGACTTTTGAACGATTAACATGTGTGATTAAATTATTGCCTCGGAGCGGGCGGCAAGTAGGTTTGTGAGTTGTGCGTTTGGACATTTTCCGAAGAGATTCTGGCCGATAGCTGCCACCTTGGATTGCACGGTAGGTCCTACGTGAGAGGGATTCAATTTCTTAACGCAATGTGCTAATAGGTATAGTGATCGTCGCGTCGTGGTGATAGGGAAAGTACTATTGCTGGTGCTGATTTGTTTACGTACGGCGGCTTGTGTAACCGGTATATGGTTCTGAGAAGTTGGGTAATTTCTACGGAACTCGTTTGTCAACCCGTGGTAGGATAACTGATGCAGACAAGGTTTTTTTTTATCAGAAGCGAATCGGATTGTGGATAACTTTCTGTTCTCTAACTATAGGTTGGATGGGTACCGTGTGTCAAGTTTCTGTTGGTGGTCCGATTTGCGAAACGATCATCGAAGCTCAAAGATCTACAGTGCTCAAAAAATTTTCCCGTACAGCTGTACAAGCACGATTAAAAAAAGAAAGATTTATGAATTCTTGGCCACCGGCTCCTGAAATATCGATCGGATATCGCTATTATAATACTGGACTTATGTGGTTGAGTGCATCAGAAATAATATGAACCAAACGTTTTGAAATTTTGTTAATTGTAGTCATAATAAAGATCTCTTGAAAACCGCTAATTTGACTAAAATCAGTCCACTACGAAAACGACGTTCAAAATTGAGTGTTTTACTAAAATTACTCGAACTTCATGCAGCCTTTGCCAATCAAGTTCAAAACCATAGTGATGAATCAATAATTAGTTGATCAACCACCAACCGGTTTTCAGAAATCTATCGATTCATAGTGTTTCAAATTGTCAATTCAGCAGCTGAATTCCGGGCATACATTTCTTGCTCTTCGATGAAATTTCTGCCCGGAAGTCAGCTGCAGGTGTACGGGTAGTTGTTTAATACACTGACTGTAGTGTAAGACGGGCAGGGCTGGTAGTCACTATTTTCAAGAAGTTTGTGGCGTTTCGAACTGATTTCAATGATCGAAGACGTTTTTTACGGATAATATCGAACTCTTTATTCTTGGCAAATTACACGCAATTGCAAACTCGGCGTTACAAGAATAATCCTTCTTTTTCTTTCCCCTCCATCTCACCGTCCTTTCTCTCGCACAGCTCTATCAACGGCTGCAAATTCCAGGGTGGTATCCATTTCATCAGTTGTATCCCACAGGCTCCCCCCAGTTACACCAACTTGGGGGTGTAACTTTAGTTCGGTGATCGTCCGAAGGATGATGTTCCAAGTCAGGGTTGCATATAAAAGCAGGTTTAATCTGGTCGATCGAAATGCGCTGAGTCTTCCCAGATGTGATGACATTCAGTTCGCTGTACTACCTACCTCACATGGTTCCTCATATGGATGCTGGAGCGATCGTCTCACGGAGTCCACTCTAATGAAAACGTGCGTACAAGAACTCAACTCTGCGTTGACGAATATTTTTCAATGACCATGACGGGCCTGGGTGATTTACGTTCTTAAAGGAGCGATGTAACAATTTACAAAAATCTGTTCGATCAACAGTTGATGCCGGCGAATCAAAAAAATCACCAGGAATACGCAAGCCTTGACCGTACACTAGATCTGCAGCTGAGCATTTCAAATCTTCTCTGTATGAAACACGCAGTCCAAGCAAGATCATCGGAAGCTCGATGTACCAATCCTTCGGGTTGACGCACATAATAGAAGCTTTCAACGTCCTATGGAATCTTTCCACAATTCCATTCGCTTGTGGATGGTATGCAGTAGTCCGAATATGATGAACCCCTAACATTTTGGTCAGTTTGTTGAAAAATTCCGACTCAAATTGACGGCCTTGGTCTGTCGTTATATTTTAAGGAACACCAAACCTTGAAATCCACGTCGAGTACAATGCTTGTGCTACCGTTGGTGCCGTCATGTCGGTTAGCGGGACTGCTTCTGACCAGCGTGAAAAACGATCAATAATCGTGAGAAGATAGCGATGTCCTTGTGATGGTGGCAGAGGTCCAACAAGGTCGATATGAACGTGCCTAAATCGATCCTTTGGAAGATGAAATTCACCCAGAGGAGCAGCGAATCCAAGCAACCAACGATACAGACAAAACTGTTGCTACGACTACCATGACAAACTCGCTCTGTAACATCGCTCGATCGGAGTGGTGGAAAGATAATGATATATTGCTTGCCTGCTTTGTTGCAATATACACGGATGAGGACATAGCTTGATCTGAATCGCGAAAAGACATAACAAAAAAATTCCCATTAACACATGTGTATCATCTTCGGCTTTACTTCGTGAAGCAGCTGGCCAACAATTTGCTCGTTTCCTTCTACCGCCCCGAGTGAACTGTGTCGCACGGGCTGCTTGTCATGAAAAAGAAGGAAGAAGATTATATCATTATTGCTTTCCACTTCGGACATAGCGTTATCATTCGGTTCGTTGATCGCTTGTCATTTTGTCATTTGTAGATATTTTTGATTTCTTGCAGAGGAGACGTAATATGACGATGCACCTTCGAACGTTGACAGTTTAAATAGTTCTTGACAAATCTGTTGATATCAGTATTCAAGGAGGGCCACACGAAACGCTCTACTATGAGTTTCCTTGTAGCCCGAGAACCGGGATGCGCTAGTCCATGGAAGTGCGTCATGACATTTACTCGATGTGGCTTGGGAATATGCGGACGAGGATGGCCGGATGTCACAATAAACCGTACTTTGGCAGTGACTTGACTTCAAATTTCAGGGATGTACTGTTGGATTTCATTAGAGCTTCAAGCTCCACCTCATCTTTCTGATCACGACTAATTGTTCCGTAATCAATTGAAGTCGGTGGCTTTGGAAATTGTCTTTTCCACTGACATGCTGGATGTCGGTTGTGAATAGCGATATAAATCTAAGGTATCGCTCTTCATGCGGTAATCGTGAAGTGGATTCAGTTGCCAACGCGAAAGTTAATGGACGATGATCCGTGAAAATAGTGAAGTTACGTCCCTTCTAGCAAATGTCGAAAGTACTTCACAGCCATTTTCATAGCGGTTACGTGGAATAGGAACACTGAGATTTTGAAAATTTTTCAGAATAAAAACCTAGTGGTTTAACTGTTTTAGTACCGCCCCCGCAGCAGTGTTCGAAGCGTCGATCATTAGCCCAAGTGATTTTGTGGAATCAGGATAATGAAGAAGCGTAGATTCTGCCAGAGAACGTTTGCACTGTTCGAAACTTTTGCGTGTAGCCTCTGATTTTGTGAGGTCTAAGAAAAAAGCACCGGGAGAACTACTGATTTCGGGTCGGATGGATAAAGTACGCGAGACTTGTTTAGGTTATCAAATTCAACTGTATCTATATTTCAATTATCTGCCTTATATATCTAATAGTAGTGGGAAACAATTAGCGCGTATACAAAGGGGATACAATTTGCATATTGGAGATGGGAAGAGAGACAGAGCCTTTGCAAGCTCAAAGAAAGGCGATAATAGTAGCCGATATTGCTGCAGGAGGTTTCCTCAAATTCCGTCACAACAGCCTCCTTCCAATGTAGCTAACGAGAGTCATTTTTCCTGTTGTCTGGAATCAGTTTCCGCAGCTCAGCTTCTATATCCGTGGCATGACGAATGAACCGCTTATACCCGTTCACAAGTGCCAAGAAGCGGCGCCGTTCCTTAACGCTCGAAGGCAATTCGTAGCCCATAACAGCTCGTACCCGTGCCGGAAGAGGACGCACACCACTTTCGCTGATGAGGTATCCTAGGAACTTCAACTCAGTGCGTCCAAAAACGCTTTTGGCCACGTTTATGGCCAGACCATGTTGACGCAATCTTTCAAATACGATCCGTAAGTGTTCGAGATGCTCTGAAGCGGAGGAAGAAGCAATACATATATCGTCAATAAAGACAACCACACAGTGCAAGTCAGCGAAAATTCGATTCATGTAACGCTGGAACGTTTGGCTAGCATTACACAAGCCAAATTGCATCCGTGTGAACGCAAACAAACCAAACGGGGTAATGACCGCCGTTTTTGAAATGTCGTTCTCTTCTACAGGGATTTGAAAATAAGCTCTCTCTCTAAGTCGACAGTGGAAAAAATGGACTTACCATGGAACGAGTTCAGCGAATCATGGATGTGAGGTACTGGGGGTACCTATCCGGAGTCGTGGCTTGATTCAAACGACGATAATCTCCTACGAAACGCCATTGACCGTTCTTTTTGGGCACACAATGTTAGGGACTGGCCCAGCAACTACTAGACGGCCGACAAATTCCTAAATCGCACATGACACTGAATTCTTCCTTCGCAGCTTTTACTTTTTCAGGATGCATCCGACGAACTTTCGATGCTGTTGGAGGCCCTTTTGTAAGGATATGATGAGTAACGTCTTTCTGCGTCTGTGACCGCATCGTAGCAGGCAGCGTTATTTCTCGATACTCCAGTAGTAGTTCCCGATACGGATGTTCTGCGTTTACTGTCGTCACATTGTAGAGCCATGAGCTGTCATCACATTTCCAGGGGAACTCAAGCCGGTCTTCTCGTCCGTTAGGCGTTGATGTTTCAGGTCTACTATGCCGAATGCCGAAGTGTGCAATAAAATCGGCTTCAATTATCGGCATTGTAATATTAGCAATCAAAACATTCCAAAGGAAGCTCCGCGTGAGTCCGAGGAACAAGGCTGCCGGCACTGGCGTGCGATATGACCATAGTTTCGGTGATACCAGCATAGCATACCAGCATTAGTAGCTGTACCTACCATTTTGTCTGCCATTTCCGCAAGCTTGGCCAGTGTTCCGTCGTTACAAGTGATGATAGGACGAATGTTCGCAGGCAAACACTGAATAAACAACATCTTCAACAAATTGTCGTCAACTTCCAAACCAACCGAAAGTTCCTGCATTTTTTACAACAGATGCGTAGGACGTAGATCCCCCAGATCGTGCGTTCCGAGCAGGCGTTCCAGCCTGTTTTCCGGCGAAAGGGCGAATCGAGCGATCAGTCGGGTTTTTACGGCATTGTATTTGTTTACGGCGGGCGGTGTTGCAACAAGATCGGCAATGTGACAAATGACAGACTGGTCAACTTTTGCCACAATATGGTGAAATTTTGTCTCGTCGACGGTAATCTTGGCAGGTGCGAATTGCGATTCAGCTTGAGCAAACCACATGACCGGGTCCGTCTTCCAGAAGTCCGGTAATTTTACACCTACCGCTGCAGCTTGATTGTTGGGCTCCGGGTTAGCCATTTTGAGGTTAGTTTCATACGATTTTCCAAAAAACGGGTCTTTGTGATCGAAATGGGTGAACCGACCGAATTAGAAAGGTCACCAATGTGGCGTTTCGAACCGATTTCAATGATCGAAGACGTTTATTACGGATAATATCGAACTCTTTATTATTGGCAAATTACACACAATTGCAAACTCGGCGTTACAAGAATAATCCTTCTATTTCTTTCCCCTCCTTCTCACCGTCCTTTCTCTCTCTCTTCGCGCACAGCTCTGTCAATGGCTGCAAATTTCAGGGTGGTATCCATTTCATCAGTTGCATCCCATAAGTTTATTATCAAAATATCAAATTTTGTTTTCATTTTGTTTTCACTCTTTGCTCGGGTAGAGACTACACTGAGGCAAAAGATTGTAAGAATTTCATAACAATCACTTATGAATTTTAGCCACAAGAAATCGGTATGAATTTCATTGATTTGCCTTATGAAAAATAATGTTGACAAAAAATAATAATACGGAGTAGACTGGATCCGAACCAAGAACGTTGAGATTACGGGGCCCGTGTGTTGACCACTCACCCTTCAACGGTTGGGATAATGAAATGATTAAAAGCGTATAACCATAGAGGTAACTCTAAGACTAGAAACTCCCGGATTAACGTGCTCAACTTATTGGCTCAGCTCTGGTACTATCTTCGGTCCCAAGCTAATCGATTCACCCCTCGAAACATAGGAAAATCCACTAACCCCTCATTTTATCTGTCAAACTTTCATAGCGAATCAAAACAAACATTATGTAGTAGTAGAATTTCGACTAGAATGGGATACGTTAATCGTTTGCTTGGGACCAATAGGCTAGTCAAGTAGCGAGCCAATTTAAAATCGTTAGTTTCGTATTGATTGTTGGTATAACCAACCGGTGAAAACTAACGATTTTTAATTGGCTCACTACTTGACTTGCCTATTCTGCCGCTCTTCGCATGTCGGTCCCAAAGCAGTTTTTGTAAAAACTGAGTTCTACAATGCAAATGGTAGCTGATCACCAATATTTTCATATTACTGGATGAACTCAATAACTTTTTTTTCTGAAAATTTTTGGAAAGACATCCAAATTGCTTGTCTCATCACATAAGAAGCAATTGTACGAATCAAGCTTAAAATGCCATTTTCCCGGCTTGCTGATGTTTGCCATGGGACCGACATGCGAAGAGTGGCAGTATTGGTCCCACGCTAATCGATTAACGTTCCCCATTCTAGTCGAAATTCTAGTACTACACTATGTTTGTTTTGATTCGCTATGAATGTTTGACAGATAAAATGAGGGGTTCGTGGATTTTCCTATGTTTCGAGGGGTGCATCGATTAGCTTGGGACCGAAGAGAGTACCAGAGCTGAGCCCAATAGTTGAGCTCGTTTCTTCGGGACCTTCTGGTCTTAGAGTTACCTCTACGTTAATCGTTTGCTTGGGGCCAATAGGCTAGTCAAGTAGTGAGCCAATTTAAAATCGTTAGTTTCGTATTGATTGTTGATAGCATGTGGTCAGCTTTGAGCATCTCTGCTGATATGCGATCGACTCCCGGGGCTTTGTTGGACTCCATACTTCGGATGGCTGCTTCTATCTCCTGCAATGATGGAGCTTCAGTGTTGACGCGAGTAACGCGCCTCACCCTTGGCGGATCATGCCGAGATGTTGATGGTTGGTTGACCGTTGAAACTTCGAGAAGTTGTTCAAAGTGCTCAAACCAACGTTTCAACTGGTCAGTGGGGTCGGTGAGCATCTGTCCAGTCGCGTCTTTCACATGCATCCTTGGGTTAATCCTTGCCCCACTCAGGAGTCGTGAAACATCATAGAGGAGGCGGATATCGCCAGGTTCTCCCCTTCATCAGCCAGGGAGTCCACCCACGCTCGCTTGTCCCGTATACAGGAACGCTTAACTTCCCTCTCTAGAACAGAATACCGCTGACGGGTCTCGTCTTGGCTCCTCGTGTCCTTGCTCGCTCTATCGCGGCTTTTGATTCTCTCCGCTCCTCGATCTTCCTCCAGGTTTCATCGGTGATCCACTTCTTCCTCTGAGTGCGCAGCTCACCCAGGTTGTTCTCGCTTGTTTCAATAAAGGCATTCTTGATGCTCGTCCCCTGTTCTTATACGCTGCCACCTTCCGGAATATTAGCTGCGCGAGCCTCCAGTTCTTCGACGAACGATCTCTTCACTGCTGGGTCCTCCAGTTGGCGTGTGTTGAATCGCCGCCCTAGTCTCTCCTCCCGCCGTTGAACCCGTGGAATGCGTAGGTGGATTCACCGACCAGGAGATGATGGTCAGACGCGATGTCAGTGCTGCGTTTATTCCGAACATCAAGAAGGCTCCGTCTCCATTTCCGGCTGATGCAGATGTGGTCGATTTGGTTCTCTGTACATCCATCACGGGAGACCCATGTGACTTTATGCACTGGGCGATGGGGGAAGAGCGAACCCCCGATGTTGCCACAAAACTCTGCAAGAAGCTCGCCGTTCTCATATCTCCGAGACCATGGTGTCCCATAATGCGCTCATAGTCCGAGTTGTCGGAGCCGATATTCGCATTGAAGTCGCCTGTGTAGATCTTGATATCACCTCTTGGAGTCTTATCCACGGCAGCATTCAGTTGACTGTAAAAGTTCTCTTTGTCCTGCAATTCGGCAGCATCGGTTGGTGCATAACATTGTATTATGGTAAGGTTTCGGACCCGTGTTCTGAATCTGGCAATGATTATTCTCTTATTGATAGGTTCCCACTTGATGAGCGCATCCTGTGCTTGGGCGCTAACCAGAAAGCCAACTCCACGATGTCGCGGAGCGTTTTCACCTCGCATTCCGTAGGCAGCTTGTGTTCTCCAAAGTTCGGCCAGTGGACTTCACTAAGTCCCAGGATTTCTAGCTTCATACGGCGGGCCTCACTGGCGAGTTGTGCCAGTTTACCCTGTTGGGTTAGTGTCAGTACATTCCATGTTCCAATTCTTGTCCGTTGTTTAGCGCTAAAAGTCGTTGCCATAAAATCAGTTCGCAATCTATCACTATAGGTTTCTGTAACAATTTGAAGGTTTCGGAGACAGTAGGTGGTTGGCCTAAGGTCTCCTATCCGCCGTGATGGGACTGCCATCTTGGGTATAGCTTTCGGGGAGAAGCATTTCGTATTCAGCCGCTGGATGCCAGTCAGACGCTGTTTGAGCCGCCCCTAACATGGAGAACAGACGCTCGGGTTTTGTAAGGCACATCCTCCGAAAAGGATGCAGCTCCCCCTTCCCTGTCAGCATACGACCAAAGTTCCCACCGGAGTTGGTTACCCGATCTTCCCTAAGGTTACTCGTATCCCAGCCGGCGCCTCGGGGAGGAAGGGATAGGAGTTACTGGGCAAGAGGCTAAGGACCACTTTCACTTGCGTGACGGGTCTATTTTATAACCTTCAAGTACGCGAAGTACCGGTGCTACGCATTATCCCAGTCATTTGCCAATTGTCGAAGTTGACTATCTACAAGACACCGATTAGACCTGTAGTCCTCTACGGCCACGAGACCTGGACTATGCTCGTGGAGGACCAACGCGCCCTTGGTGTTTTCGAACGGAAGGTGTTGCGTACCATCTACGGTGGAGTGCAGATGGATGACGGAACATGGAGGAGGCGAATGAATCACGAATTGCACCAGCTGCTGGGAGAACCATCCATCGTCCACATTGCAAAAATTTGGCGACTACGGTGAGCTGGGCACGTCTTAAGAATGCCGCACGACGACCCAGTGAAAATGGTTTTCGAAAGCGACCCAACAGGAACAAGAAGAATAGGCGCGTAGCGGGCATGGTGGATCGACCAAGTAGAAGGCGACCTGCTGACCCTTCGCAGACTACGAGGCTGGCGACGTGTGGCCATGGATCTAGTAGAGTAGAGACGACTTCTTCGGACAGCAGAGGACATCAAGCCCTTAGCCTGATTGGTAAGGGAAGTATGCTCTCAACTTTGTGTTCTAGATGCACAATCACAGTTATTAATTGGTTCAAATCGAAGTGGGTCGATGCTTTTGCTCGGTCACTTGAGATGGAATGACCCATATATACTAATGCGATATATTTGATTATATCTTGTCTTTCCATCGATATTATAAATCCAGTCAAATAAATGTTTGTGAAACCAATAAAAAAAACGCAAATAATTTTCAAACGTTACAATTAGTAATTCAAACACAACACCTCTAAAACTATACGCAAATAACCTTTATTTGACTAGAACGTCGTTACATTCACAAAGCATACCCTACAGAGAATATACTTTTGAGCAAACTGCATAAAGTTACATCGATCTTCAGCACGATGCCCCCGGGCATCTGCTGTTTCTCCTCCTGGAAGAAACCCCCCGATCAGCCATTTGACCGCCACTGCAATCATGTCCGTTCACCGGTTGATTGTGAAAGTATGTTGTTGTTTCCAAATTTTGTCACCTCACTTCGCGTGACCTTCGACAGCAGCGTGATCGCATTCGACAGTTTCGTTTGCATTGGTAGGTATATGCCATGTTCCATATGCAATGTACGAAAGATGACTCAACTCTTCTGCTGTGGAAACAAACAAAACTATACGACAGCATCAACAGTCGCTCATTTCCATCAATGAACCGGCCAGTTTAGTGACGACGATCTTTTGACGAAATGTTTGCTGTATGAATGTACATACATATAGGTAACGTAGACGTACTAAAAGTTGTTTGTTCAAGCTCTTCAAACCGTCGTTGGCGTCGTCGTAGGTGGACGCCCGAACGGAATAACTAATGAGCCAAAAATGAACCGAATTAAAGACGGTCTTAGACTGGGTGTTTAGGCTTATTCCTCGTAGGTCACCGCATCGTTTTCCACCGTGGTGTCAAGTGCAATTGGCGGCGCGAACGCACCGGCATATGCTACCTTTTACGGTCGATCCGCCTTCCGACTTGGTAATGTCTCTGGTAAAGTTATCCGGTTGTCACGGCCAAACTCAAGCGATCGATGGTTCGTGAGATT